ACACACACAGACAACCCCGTGACAATATGCGTTTTGCAACGCTGTTACACAGCACAAAACGCATAATAATGTAAGTAAATAAATGAGTATCCCAAAATTAAGCAAAACAACGATACCTTGCTCACAATACAGAAGATCGATGGTCGGTGGAATATCCAATTTTCTTGCCGCAATATGCTTCAGCAGTGTAGTTTTACCCATTCTACAAAAAACATCATTAGCGCGCTTCGAAACATAAAAAAAGGTATCTTTCATGCAAATTCACGCAAAAAGGAAAACGAAGGAAATACCCGTTTGGTCCAACAAGTCCATAACGTCGCCCAAAAACTATTGTCAAATCGGCTTTATGAAACAAAACACGGCCTTGCGCAGCAATATCAAAATTTTCCACCTGCAAAGGTTTCTTTTTTTTTTCCCAGAATCTTGTCCGTTGCTATCCCTTATCTAATGATCGAATTTATTTTAAGGTTTCAAAAAATAACGGTTTTCAAAGAACCAAGTAGACAGACCTTTATGTCCACTGCATTTTCGAGTTGAGTGCGTTGTCCGGTGGACTTTACTTGTTGCGACACAGAGAACTGTTCCCCAAGCTCAGCACCTGCGCCAATTCCACCGCCTTCTAAACTGTATGATTCAGTATTGTAAGTATTGGAAAGTGTAGCATTGCTGCTGGCAAGATGCAGCGACAAAAGGAAAGAGGAACAGGACAGTCGACTTTGTTTATTTGATATTCTGCGAAGAAGCCAAATTATGCAATCTCATTTAAGCTAGCCCGGTATTTGCATTGGGTGACGTCTGTGTTTCATCCCTGAACTGTAAACACAGACGACTAAAATGGTGCGAAACGTAACGCGCGGAGAGCCGAACGGCCTACGTGGCTGTATGGTTCAGCTCCAAGCTGCGGCCACACAAATACTTGTCACACATAAATAACCACCACTTCATTTCTAATCACATCATTACATATCACGGAGGGGGAAACTCGAGTCAGGAGATGGAACATTTGCATATCATATGGAATGGAAGGACAACTGGACAAGACGAGGGGTTTAGTCGGCAGCTTCGTTCCCTTGCCGTTAAAAACTTGTTCCTTTTGTAATAGTATTAGTATGAAATAGTTAATCACGGTATTTATCCCTCTTTGGTATTCATTTTCCCCAAAAAAAGAATTCCTGATTCTTTTTTAAGAATCAATTTTTTTAAAGATTTCAAGAATCAATTTTTTTTCAAGAATCAATTTTTTAAACAATTTTTTAAAGATTTTATTAATTTGCTGCAGTCTCAATGAATTTTTGAATTAACTGAATGTACTTTCCAGGCTCAAATGCAGTTTCACAGAATTTCCGAATGAATCATAGTACCAAAAAAGTCAAAATCATTCACTGGAAGAAACGAAGAAACTCGGGGACAGCCCGAACGGTAGAATTTGCCGATAATAATCATTTCATATCAAAGCCCCATACTCCCAAACATTAACTACAAGTTAACGGATGGCGGGTTTGAATGATAAGTAATGGCCATTCGAAGGCGGATTCAGAAGTGGATGGTCCAAGTGAGACGGTCGAACTGAGTTAAATTTATAAAAAATTTTTTTGCGGCTGTTGGTAGGCCAAACCATAATTTCTGAAGTAATAGCCAGTATGAACCGTGGGAAATACGGGATGGCCATTTCACTGATCCATTTTGAAAACAAAAACGAATGAACTAACCCGTGTAGGTCCACCTAATGGGGGATCATCACAAACAAGACGGATTGGAGGCTGCACTGATGATTCCCACTTCTACCCACACACTGTGTTCGGTCTGTGTTTAAAGCTAAGGGATGAGATATAGACTGTTTCCTGACATGTTCCCGTTGCATATGATATTTAGATCAATTCCATATCTCATCCTATTATTTCATTATGAGAGCAAAGCCATCTGCCGTTGTGTCATGACTGCCAGTACATTCTGTACAATCTTCCATTTTGTAAGATATACCTTTCTTTTCAGTCGGTTTTTCCTCTTGGCCTTCAATAGTCCCACCCATTGCCAGTATTTCACGCTCATATTCGGCCCTTCTCTGCAACTTTTTCAGCTCCTTCTTGCTCAATTTCTTATCTTTTTTCGCATCTGAAAAAAAAGAAGAAAATTACAATACCATCTCAACAAAATAAAGCAAAAATGAGGTAAAATTTTAAGTAATTCACCAAAAATTTTTAAAAATGAGCCTACTTTAAGGCCTGCAGAAACC